TTGCCAATCATGATCATTTTATTCCAGGGACTATCAAACAGTTTGTATTGGCCATGTTTACGGATTGATGGGAGGACTTGTGAAGTTTAAGGCAGCGGTAACAACTTTTACTACAGGTAAGATTTGAATTCACAAGGGCCTTCAACTTCAGGTCGGAATTTTAAAAACTTCTCTGTGATATCATTTGCGCCAGGTGTCACAAGGTTTTCACAGGCTTGTCTATATTTAGACTGCACCTTTAAAATTGGAAAGAGCCCTCTCCCTCCCCCACCCACGACCAAAAAGTAACCAGGCAACGGATAGAACAGAAAAGGGTCGTCGACAAGAATCCCATAGTACATTGCAAATTATCAATGATTATTTGCTTGCTCGGGTAACCAATCAGAACACATTATTCTCCTCATCTTGTCCGTTCCCGGAACCAGCCATATAATAAGGGTATACACAGATTGGCCCATAGCTTGGGTAATGGGGTCTTATTTAGAGGAGGGCCTGCAAATGAACTAGAATTGGTGTTTACGAATATAAGGGCTTACAAACGGGATTTTACGGTATGGACCGGAGCTTAAATTTATGTGGGAAAGAAAGAAACTAGCTAGTCTGCAAAAGCGACGTTCTGTCAGCGTGTTAAAAAGTCTGATGAAATTGAACTAAGTTTTATCTCCACATTATGGGTTAAAATAATCCAAAACGTTTTGATTGTTCAGACCCACTATCCATACGAAGGAAATAACCTAAAACGGTTTCATGTTTTAATCTTTCTTGGTAGGATCACTATTCTTCCTTCTGAAGAGAAGTTTGCTCCAATGTTTGAGCCACTAAGAACCTTTCACCAAGAATTCATGGCGCAGTTTAAGGACACGAACTGACAAGATGGATTTACTGGATTTAGTTTCCGGTGATGACAATAGCGAGGTTAAGATCGGGTACCAATACCGATACCAGTACCAATATCTTTCACAGCCGTAGTCGTTTCGGTCGTGCATGAATGAAGTTGTAAGTTGTTGAGGACGGATAGCGGTAAAACATGGCGTTCGCCGACATCTCGTTAGAAGAAGCTCTAGTCCTTGAAGCTTATGAAGAAGACATTTTAGATGAAGGAGAAACTCTGCTGGCGTTTGAATTGCTGGATAAATCAAGAGAACCATAATCGTGTACAAGAAAAGATTTTTAACACCACGTGTTTTGAACGTCAATTTTGGCAAGCAGGTTTATTAACATATCACACGTACAACGCGTATTTGTTTAAATCAAATCCAATCCATAATGTGATTTTTATTCAACTTACCGTGTGCTGTCTCTCTCAAAACTTGTTTCGCTTGACATTTCTGAACACAAAAATCAAACACAACTTAGACCAACAAACGATCTACACTGTCTGAACCAACGAATTTACCTTAAATATCGTGTTAAAATGAACTTGCTCTTATCGATTCAGAAGCGTTATATCGATTAAAATGTTTAAAGAATAGATGTATGCTGTGGTTTTAAACAAAACGGCATTCCATCTAACCTTTAGCAAGAAGACCTGAAGTCAGGGGTGAAGACTTCCAATATGGAGGCGACTTCCGTAGTCTTGACTACCGATAGAGATGTCACAGGCTGACGACACATGCGCGTAACCTACGGGTATCGGTGTTGGTACCCGATCTTAACCTCTCTAATGTTCAATCCAGACTAACTTATATGTCTCCATCCTCATTTATCAGGGGAAAGTTTTCTGATGTAAAATATATGTCTGCAGAAGCAAAACTCTTGTTTATAAATTTCTATTTCTCTAGAAAGGCTAAATAGTTTTGATGACTCTTCATTAACCTATGATTTTCAAAGTTTTTCAATTGACTTCCCTTCCCAGATTTGGCTGTATATTATCTCTCAAAAAAAGACCCGGAAATGTTCAACAATAGTGGCAGAAATAGTCTTGAATGTATCTGGCAAGCTGTACACAAATGTCGTTAACCACACAACGAGGAAAAACAACATTCTTATAATCCTCTCTTAAAAATGGCGTGAAAAAAAAGACACTTTTAAAAATCTTCTGAATTTTCTCATCTTTAGGACACTGAAGTGTGGTTTTCCCATTTCAGCGTTTTTCCGGCCCATTCCTTGTGATATTCCAGACACAGAGAGGAACGTAAAGAAATCCTGTTTATATAAATAGCAACTTTATTGAAGTCTCTTAAAATGCTGATTTTACTAACAGGTATTTTAACTTCAAAACAAGTCGTATTATTAAAGTAGATATCGCGTTGTGAAATAGCAAATTAAGAACTAAACAACTTCTGCGCTTAATGTACATAATGGATATATTTCATGTTTTGCGACCACAATCATACTGACTAACTCTAAACAAGGAAATGTAAAGGATATCTTTTCATTTTGGAAGCATACTAAACGTAACGAAAAGATAAACGAGACTACCTAACAGGCTCTATATTTAGTTGTGGTATTTGACAAAATACTGTGGTTCAACTCATCAATGGTTTAGATTTTGTTTTCCTTTGTGTTGCGGTATGGTTATGTACGATTGAGAATCAGAGTTTAAAACAAAGGGAAAAAGCATTTGAACCAAGGAAAAAATTGCACCACAACATCTATTTACGGTCTTTTTATCGAACTTTGAAGGTCGCAATAATAGTATACAATCAGCTACTTTTTTTTTTTTTTTT